ATGTATCAAGTTTCTGTGCCTTGGAGACTTGAACCAAATGACAACTCATACAGGAATTCACAGGGCAGGATTCCAACACCAGTGAGCAGAGGATTCACATGGCCGCTCCAAGCCCAGTCCTACTCTTGACCAGAGCTGTCATTTCATCTGTTCCTATGGAGAAAACCACCTAACCTACCCATCTGAAGGCTGCATCCCCTGTGACCAGGTCCTCTGTTGAAAGTTACCCTTCAAAGTTTGCTTATGTTCAGGTTAGCAACAAAAGTAAATAGCTATAACTTCCCTAGACCCGAGCCTCATTTCCTTACAAAAGATTTTAATCATAAACACTATGCAGTAAATTATTATATCTTCTTTCAGAAATTTAGTTTTCAGCCTTGTTTTTCAAACCAACTTTTGTGCTTGAGGTTCATGTTTTTGCCTGAGGTGTTGCATGAATATTGGAAATTTGACAAGGAAGACAAAAGACAGCAAATGAGGGAAGAGGAGAATGAAACCAAGAGTTTATTGAAAGCTGGGGATAATTCGACTATGCCATGAAAATAGCAAATACAGAATGAATTAATCTTTTCAACAGAACTATCTAACAAGCAGCTTGTTTCTTAAATAAGGCTCTCAGTAAAGTGTATTTTGACTTGCATTTCCCATGATTCCCTGTTCTTCAGACCAAGCTCCAAACCCTGAGAGGATTCAGCATTTAGTTAAACGGAGAAGCAATTCCTTTGGGATTGCTGCTTTAGCATAGTGACAGCAGGTAGACAGCTTGGCAGCAGCCTGTATCCCACAGAGAACAGGAAAAGAGACACTTGTGAGGGGTGATTTTTTTTTCCTCCATGCATATTTTTAAAGTCACATTGGACATGTCCATCTAAGTTCATTATCTTGCTATAAGCCACAACAACAGGGAGAGGTTCTTGTTTTTATTTTTTTTTATTTTTTTTTTATTTTTTTTTTTTAGCTGAGCCATCCCGCCACCTGTTGGCAGCTCACGGCTGCTCAGCTCGGGCTGACTCGAACCGCTGTTGCTCAGAGCTCAAACTCTTGAGCGAGCTCTTAACCAACTGAGCCACTCAGCCGGCCCTTGAGAGGTTCTTGTTTTTAAAGATTCAAGAAAACAAAGCATCCCATATATGTCTGAATCGAAGAAGGAGAAAGCCCCAGGCAAAGATGGAATATCATTAAGAGTACACAAACATACACACGCCAACACAAAAGACAGTCACACTGGGTACTTACCTGCTGTACACATGTGCAGGGCCAGCTTCACGACAGCCCAGACAGTAGCTTCTATCATCTGGTTTGAAAAGTCCAGAAGAGTTCTGTATATTATTTAATTGAAAAAAGTTTCAGAAAAAAAAAGCCAGGTCCTTGAAAGATGTGGACTCATGTTGAGGATTGTTTGAAGTGCCAAAAGTTTAAGAGATCAAGATGTTTCCCCAAGAGAGACCAAGGATGTGCCAGTATGGCTGCCTTATTTAGATGGCAATTTGAAGAATACAGAGCCTCTGCAACAGGGAGGTACCATAGTGGGAATGACGAAAAGCTCAGAAGGAAGGAATGTGGTACTACCAAAGGCAGACCCCCACCATATACACCTCAGTGCTTCAGCAAGAATCTAACCTAGGAAATAGATGAATTATATAGACTGCCTTAGATATGAGTAGCATAATCCAAATAGATTATATAAATGGGGATAAGTTACATTTTATTGGCTGTGTAAATCAGGAAAAATAAAGCAGATACAAGGCTACCATCCACAATTATGAAAAAAAATCATTTTAGAAGCTGGGAGTTCACAAAATGGCTGTTGAGCTGAACAAGTGGCATAATACACCATACTTGCCAAAAATATATAAAAGACTCCGTAAGGGCCATCTGGGGCTGGCAGAGCCTGGGGAAGCAAGTGGACTCGAGCTTTCTCTTTGAAATGGAGAGTTTGCCTGAGAAGAACATTTCCCTAGGTTTCTGCATGCAGTGCCAATCAAGATTACTGCAAATTTTAAAAGAATACTTTAACACTGTCCCAAAATTTGGCAACTTAAACTAACACGGGATGACTGATGTTGGTCAAAGATTGCAGTAAGTGTTAGTAATCCAAGAATAAAGGGAGGTACGAATTATTCTTTTGAAAAATGGATGGCATGGTGTGTGTAAATAATAGAAGCAAATGTAGCAAGATAAAGGGAATCTTAGAACATTTAAAATCTAATACATTACAAAGAGAGTTCCATGCTGATAAATGTAGAATAATAAGTTTTATGGGGCTTTATCATATGCTGTAAGTTGGTGTGGATCATAAAAATGAGGAATAAAAAAGTAGGGGAGTTAAAAGACAAGTCTGTGCATTATTTATGAATGGGGAAGAGTGAAATGAATGAGAAGAAGAACAGGTAGATGATGTCCTGAATAATAATGACTTTGATGAGTTGTTATCACACAAATCTGTGTGATTCATAGAATATGAGGAATATTAAAGAGCAGGAGAGTCAAAAGACAAGTGTACTCAGAATGAGATACAGAATGAAGGAAGGGAGAAATACAAGAGAAATGAACAGAATAATGATGACTTATATGAGACTTTCACTCGCCAGCCTGGATCCTTCATAAATATAAGCTGTATAAAAAATAAAAGAGCAGCAAAGAAAAGAGACAAGTCTGTGTCTGTCATAAAATATTACCAAATAATGCCAACTAACCTTGACAAAATAAAAACAAAAATAATTGAGCCTAGTACAGCTGTGGGAAGACACCATGTCTAGATTAATGTGAACAAATAAAATGAGCGAGTGTAGAATTGCCTTGTCAATAGGGAATCAGCGACCATCTAGGTAGTACGCATTATTGTTGCAAAGGCCAGCTTGTTAACTGGTAGAGCCTTGGCAAGTTCATAATTACCCCCCCCCAACATACCCACAAAAAAGTCATCAGCACTTAAGGCTCAGAAAGCAATGTTTAACTGATTTTCAAATGATTTGGCCTCACCAACATACAATCTCTTCTGAGCCCCTGTGGTTCCAATTCCTGTATAGTTTGCCGGATATTTTCTCAGTTTGTTTATACTTCATCTGTACCCAGCTTGTCAAATTTTGCTTTGTAAAGGCTTTCAAAATGTTGCTGTATAAAACTAGAGACATCCTTTTATTTTCATTTCTTGTTACACTAGACTTAGAACATGGGACTAGATCTGTCAGGATTAGTTCAAAATCCAGAACTCAGTGACTTTCAAATATCTCTATTAGAACAAATGGGATTTCAAAATCGCCCCCAAAGAGACTGGAGGAATCAGACAAGGCAAAGCAAGTGCCAATATGCCATTTTCATGCCATTCAGAACCGTGACTTATAGAATTCATAAAATGAGCAGCTCATTGGAAAGAAAAAAGCCACTAATTTATGTCAGAACTAGGAATGTTGGTCTGAGAGCTCAATATACAAAGACACTAATAGCAACAATTATACTAGCTTACATTGTGTAATGGCTTATAATTTGTGTTGGGGGAAGGCCTTAGGTAATGGAGGATAAATCCTATTAGCATAATATATCCAATTCCTCTGATTGCAATAGAATTTAGTAGTGAAGTTTACTGGCTATAGCATATAAAACAAGCTTTGGATGGTAACTGTCTTTTGCTTTTTCAGAGATTATTTTTTTCTCATTCGAATGATCTTTGTGACTATGAGTCTTTAGATTTATGGCCTTGACTTGCCGATTCTGTTTGAAGAATGTCTAATGCCAGGGTGGAATTATTATGATTACATTGGAAAGTCATGTTTACCCAAATAACATGGCCCCTTTTAATCCAAAATTTAGCTTCCCTGGATACCCTGAGTCCCACTTGGTAAAATAAAACAACATTGATGCCCAAGGAAAAATCATTGACTTTGCCCAACCTTCCTCAACACTACAAACTCCACCTATAAAATGCACTTTCTAAAGCTCAGGCCTGCCAAGACTAGGAATGGACTCTGGTGAAAAACTAATCCCCATCACATGCCACCTCCCCAATAACAGCAGAGCAGTGGAAACTCTTTGCTGGCATTTGCCCTGGGCCTTCTTAAATGCCAGGCTCCCAAAATTTGTTTCAACTTGTTGGCCAGGCTCCAGCTGAAATTATACATGTTTTCGTGGACTGTGTCCCTGGGAAACAGCCCTATTTAAGGTCTAGTTTAATGGAATCCCATTCTTTGGGAAGGATGAAACTCATTTGTTTAAAGGGCAAACCTCCTGAAATATTTTATTTCAATTATGCAAGAGAATTAGAGTACTATAGTCAGGGACCATGCCTCTTTTGCAGACTTTAACTCCTAAAATTCACCCAACTAAGTCTGTTTTTTTAAAAAAGCTGTCATTCCAGAAAAAGTGATTTTGCAATATGTATCAAGAGCCCTAAAAATGTTCACACTTATGTATGTAAATGCATAGAAAATGCACGTAACAAAATGATATTGCTGATTGCTACTGGGGGAAAGACCAGGAACTGGGAGGGAGGTGATCAACAGGGACTTTAGTCATATCTACAATGTATTTATGTATTAAATAATGTAATTAATTTTAATTTTAATAACAGAAAAATATCCTTCCACAACTAGGACTATCTCCTAAAGAAATAATGAGAAATTCAATGCACACGAAATTGAGACACAATGAAATGTCCTAAAATAGGGAAGGGCTTAAACACATTAAGGAATATTATTTTAAGGCTATTTTATATAATAGCAAAATGCTATATTAAGGAATTTCTAATTACATAAGACAATATTAATAATACATTGTCAACTTAAAAATATCAGGATACAGAACTATACCAAGCATAATCTCAGCATTAATGGGTAAAAGAGATAAATATACCCTCCACAAAATGTTATTAGTAGTTACTACTGGTTGGTGACATTATTGTGTTTTTTGTTATACGTGACTCTGTTTTCCAAAGTTTCTCCAACTTGGCTTCTAGAATCCAGTTTCAACATGCTTTTATATTCACCTTTGATCTTGTGTTGCAGGCGTGCTTGTGTGATTCGAGGTCAAGTTGTGGCCATAGATGGAACCCCTCTGGTAGGGGTGAATGTTAGTTTCTTGCACCACAGTGACTACGGATTTACCATCAGCCGTCAAGATGGAAGGTAGGTCAAAATTGCTTCTGATCACTGTAGTGGCCAAATACTGACTTCTAGCTGTTAGTGAAACCCAGGCTCAGATAATACAGTGTTTATAAGTCATCTTCCTTCTGGATGTATCTAGAAAAGTCATTGGAGGTATTTATGTCCTCTATTCCTCACCTAAGTCACACCAAATTTCTCTTCTAACCCTGTACTCATACTCTCAAGTTTTCTTGAAACCCTGGCCATGTGGAAAGCTTTCTAGCCTTCATCTAATTCCATGTATAAATCCAGCTTCAAAATTCAGTGAGATGGTGTGGGTAATAAATAGAGGGCCATGGAACACTTACGCTGTTCTTCCATGACATCCTCAAAATATTTAGAAATGAGGGAGTCCAAAGCTTTCCTCCAAAAGTATAGACTATAACCACATTAAGACACGTTTCTTAAAATGTGTCCTTCCTAGGCTGCTTATCTTACTAGTGGATGTAACTGATTGACAAACATGGTCAGACTAACCAATTCCCCTTGGTGTCTATATAACCACATTAATTTAACCTTAAGCACCAACCACCAGGTGCTTTCTCAGGGCTTCTCAAAGTTCTCTGAAACCTGGGAAGCAAGACCACTAAGTAAAATCTTCTCCTGTTAAAGGATTTGCTCACAAAACATTTTTGTTGTCATTTAGACAGACATTTGTTCAGAATATTTGAGTCAATTGGCCCATGTGTCCAGCTAAAAGTCATCTATTTATGACTCTCAGGACATTGTAATAATGGCTTTGAGGTATCCTAGTCTCCAGGTGGCTATGCTTAAAATGTCATACTCATAAAAAACTGTTTTAATACTCACATGAATAGACCTGTTGGCTTGGAGCTTAATCACAGTGTGAGAAACTATCTCATTACAAGAACCTGCAATCAAAGCATATTAGTCCTAACCACTTCAGAATTGTTAATTGTTCCACTTGGACTATGTTGAATTTATATTTTTCAACTGCTTGTCAAGAAAATGCTTATAAAAATAGTTGAATAAGATAATAAGGAAGCCTTTTAACCTACTTAAGAAAACAAATTGTTTTTAAGACTTTACTAAATCATATGGATTATTTATATATACATTATGTTACTTATTAGCTATCTATCTATTCATTATAACAAGCTCAGCAGAACTACTTTGGAGATATATATATATATATATGAGGTTGCACAATTAAGTTCGAGAACTCATCTTAGAAAAAGTGCTACATACCTCATTGCTGAATATCACTATGGTCACCTTTGAAGTACTCCTTTTGGGAAGCTATGCACTGATGCCAGCACCTAGTCCACTCTTCAAAGCAATTTTGGAACACTTTTTCTGGAATGACCATCAGAGCTGTCATTGTATTACCCTTGATATCCTGAATGTCATCAAAATGTCTTCCTTTCAATATTTCCTTTATCTTTGGGTAAAGAAAGAAGTCACTGGGGGCCAGATCAGGTGACTAGGGAGGGTGTTCCAATGTACTTGTTTGCTTACTGGCTAAAAACTCCCTCATAGACAGTGCCGTGTGAGCTGGTGCATTGCTGTGATGCAAGAGCCAAGAATTGTTGGTGAAAAGTTAAGATCGTCTAAATTTTCACACAGCCTTTTTAGCACTTCCAAAGAGTAAACTTGGTTAACTGTTTGTCCATTTAGTATAAGTTCATAAGAATAATCCCTCTGATATCAAAAAAGGTTAGCAACATAATTGCAACAAGTTTGTGAACTTAATTGTCAGACCTCGTACATGCACACATGTATTTCTTATACATGTACATATAAGCAATAAAAACTACATGTCCTTTCAAATATTCCATAATCAGCTCATTAGTAATTCAAATGGACCTTTCTCCCAATTAGATTGAATTATAGAATTTTGGTAGTCTACTCACCAGTAACTGGAACACAAAACTGGCCACTCTCTTGCCAGCATGTTCAGCCATATGACAAAAAGTGAGAAATAGATTATTTCTTTAAATAGAATATTCCCTCAAGGACATTTGACTTCTTATGGAGAACTGATGGGCCTTCAGTTTTTCTAGCTTGTGTAGAAAGATTTCAGTGAACTATTTGATATTCACAAGAGAACATAAAAAACAAAACAAAAAAAAAACCTTGATGTCCAAAAAGTCTAAAAATGTGTTTCTAGTTTATAGAAAACATTAAAGAGGGGCAATTTTTGTCTTTTTCATTTTAAGTAAAATACCAAGACCCTCCTCCATCAGCTCACTCTGAGAACTAGGTTTATGTAGATGACAGATAGATACTAGCCAGAGCCCCTCTGGCAATAACTTTCCCCTCAGGCTTTACAGAGGGTATCAGCATTGAATATATGTATCCGAAATGCCAACCAGACTGTCCCACTGTCATCTTTTGGACATAAAATAACAGTGTGATGAGAGTTTCCATTTATATGACTCTGCTTATTGCTACCTCAGATTGAGTAAGCACATTTCAGAAGTAGAATATCATAAGGAAACTATACCTGAGGGCAAAATAATTATGAAAAGTCTGATATTAGCATTTAAATACCCAGTAGACAGAGTATGATATGCAAGATTCTGTAAGGACCCTCTGTCGCCAATTCTCAATCCCATGGGTCTGCCACTATGCCTGTAGTTCCCAACAAATGTATCACTCTTTTGAGTTAAGTTACTGACTCTCTCAAAATCCTTATCAAATGCAAATATGTTATGTGGGATTTAAAAATAATTACCCCCATTATCATCCATTTGCACAAATTAATTGATAACTTCCCCTAGAGAACCAGGAAACGTCTAGGTCATGGGACCAAGGTGATATATTAAAAACAGAAAGAAGGATGGGAGTGGAATATAGGGCCTTCTAAAAGTAAGAAGAGAATAGATGTGCAGATTGGGAGGATTATCAGAAAAGAAAAAGAAAACAGAAATTCTAAAGGAAAAAGAAGTATTTATGAGTATGCCAGGCATTTATGTAAATGTCATTTTGTTTCATCCTCACAACAACTTTATGAGATAAGAATCATTATTATCATCATCTCCATTTGGCAGATAAGAAAATTTATCCAAATTAACACAGGTAATAAGGGTAGAGCCCAAAAGTTGAACCCAAGTAATCTGGCTCTTGTCTTCTATGACTTACCACCTTCAATTTAGATAACAGGTGCTCAGTATAGTGTTGAAAGATAACTGTTTATAAATACTTCAGCTTGTGATAAGCCAAATAGGTGAAAGACTGACCTTCTTAGAAGGTTTTTTGAGAAGAATTAAAAGTCTCAAGAACTTTATTTGGAAGGCTTTGAAAGATGAAGAGAGGGTTCTCCTCTTGATTTCCCTCAAGGCAAGAATTTGTGCGCTGTGGATACCACAAGGCAGAGGTAAGCATTTGCACAGGCTTTAGTAGTTTTCCATCTGTCAATAGGACTGGTCTTATCTACTATAAAATAACAACAGTCTCCAAACAAATATGTCCTCTCCCTTGGGTCTTTTATACTCACTCTTCCATATGACTTTATAGCCTATTCTTAATGACCCATACCAATGAAGATCATTTGTGGTGGGAGAAATCCCAAAGAATTAATCATTCAGAGAGCATTCTATGTGGCATTGGAATAGTTTAAATGGGTTTTTGGCCACAGAGCCACCTTCCATCTCCATGACAATTAATGAGTCTGTCAGATAATGTTTACCCTATATAACAGCTAGTAGGGAAGAGGAGAAATCAGAGTTCTCCAGAGAAACAGAATGTGTGTGTGTGTGTGTGTGTGTGTGTGGAGAGAGAGAGAGAGAGAGAGAGAGAGAGAGAGAGAGAGAGAGAGAGAGAGAGCTCTCAAATAATTGGCTTATGTGATTGTAGCAATTGGAAAATCCTAAAAACTAGGGGAGGCTAGACTAGAACCTCATGTAATAAGTTGATGCTACCTCTGCAGTCTTGAGACAGAATTCTTTCCTCCTTACAGAAACTTCAGTTTTGCTCTTAAGTTCTTTCAACTAATTCAATGGGGTCCTCCCTCATTTTCAAGGGTAGTCTCCCTTACTAAAAGTTAACTAGTTGTTGGTAATTAACCACATCTACAAATACCTCCACAACAACACCTAGATTAGTGTTTGTTTGAATAACTGGGCACTGTCACCTAGTCAAATTGACACAGTAAACTAACCATCACAGGAAGCCTAGGGGAAATTCCCAGGAGAACTTAAAAATTAGTGTCTTCTTATGGAAATAATAAAAAACTGGCCTAGAGCTCATTTGAACTACATGAGAAAAACATTTGTAAATTTAATAGGGTAGTACATCTGATTTGAGAAGAAAGTTAACATTTGTTAAGTCCCTACTATGTGCTTCACCCTTAAGTCTTTATCTCATTTACTCATTTACGGTAGTAGCTGAGAGACAGATCATATTAGCCCATTTTACTAATGAGGAAACTGACACTCACAGAGGTAGAATAACTAGCACAAAGTTAACATGGAAGAGCTTGGATTGAACCCCAGGTGTGTATGAAGCCAAAACTACATTCTTTCTACAAAATAAGAAGCCTGCCTTGTCTGCTTAATCTTTCTAGAAGTAGAGAATAATTCCCAGGTACATGTGTTCATTTGGATAGTTTATTTATTTTTATTTTAAGATTTTATTGGGGAATTGGGGTAGGGAACAGCGTTGGGGAATTGGGGAAGTGGAACAGACAAGTTGCTGTCCTTTTGTTCTTTAGTCTAGTTGTGGAGGACATCGCTTCACTGGCCCATGGTAGTATTGTGATCATTGCGCTCTTCCCGGCTGAGGCAGATCGGTTGCTGGCCATTGGACGGCCACTCATGGCAGCTCACGGCAATCCACGGCAGCTCACGGCAGCTGCCGACCACTTACACTGACTGCTGGCCACTCACGGTAGCTTTCGGCAACCCACTGCAGCCCCACTGCAGCCTACGCCATCGCCAGCAATGCATGGCAGCCCAGCTCCTGGTTGAGCTGTTGTTCACCATCTTGGCTGTAGAGGGTGCAGCATCACTGACCCATGTGGGATCTGAACTGGCGGCCCTGCTGCTCAGAGCTCGGGCCAAGCCAACTCTTAACCAACAAGCCACTCAACCAACCCAGGAATTATTTTGGTTTTTTCTTTGTGTTTGCTTTTGTTTTCAAATAAATAAGCACTTCACTTTTAATGAGTCAAGAGCTAAGGTTTGGGTGAAACAAATAAACTTGCCCAAGGACACAGAGTTAAATCAATTGTAGAATGTGAGCTAAAAGAAAGGTCTCTTGACAAGTAGTTAGATTTTCTCCATTATACTTGCCTTCAACTGCTCTTGTATTATTATGAATTCAGCCTTGGGTTTTTCTTTTTTCAGTTCAAACCTAGATTATTTTCTATAGCTGACGCAGTTCTTCAAATCCTCTTTTTAGAAATTATCTTAATATCACAGCTACGTGGCTGAAAAACCAACAGTAAAATATACAGTATTAGCCACCCTTTGTCACTGTCCACTTATATTTATCTGGAAGATTTCTGCAACAAGGCATGATTGGTAATACTATAATAAATACAATAAATGTCATATGAAGAGAGTGGTGAGATATCCACAATGAAGCCTAATTACCTATCAGAGCATTTTATCATTGAAAAGTGTTTTACAGGAAGATCTATTTTAATGCAAGGAATGGCTTACATCTCTCTCCTGTGGATTTAATTTGCTTTGAATATTAAGGAGCATCATATTGTCCTTTATCCATTTTTAAGTTATAATGATAATAATTTATCATTATCTTAGTTTTATATAGAATTTTATGCTTTTTTAATGCTTTCAAGTACATTCTCTCAAAGACATCATTATACTTAAAAGAGAAGTGAGGTGGAACCTACTAATGCTGAATGAACTGAAACCTGAATCTGTTCTGCTCCAAAGCAAGAGTCACATCAGAGATGGACTTGCAGAAGAGGTAGTGTTGATTTGTCAGAGATATGGAAGGAGTTGTTGGTGGAGGTAGACATGGTCCATTACAGGCTGTCTTACAAAAGAAAACCAAGGGGCATTCTAAAGGGAACCAGAAATCCTAAATCTAGAGTTTAACTAGAATCAGGAGCCAAAGTGGGTAGCCAGATGTAGAGGATTCAGAAATGGTATTGTTCAAGCAAATTTCACTGACCAATTTTCCTCTGCTGGCATCTTTCTCCAAATGCCATCTCAAAGACAAGATCAGGTTTGTGACACTATGATTATGATCCTGAACAAGCTATTTAACCTTTTAGCTCCTTACTTTTCTTGAGTTACAGTATTGGAATTTTTTGAGGGTGAATAATACATTGTATTAAGGATGCTGCTGAATATTAAATGGTCATCTTTCAGTTATCTCTAGCACAAGAAGTAGCAGTGATGTCAGATTTAGCTTTGCAGGAATGCATGTAGTAATTTTTAAAGGTAGTATTAAAATTGGTTTACAAATTCTGGGTGAATATCAACTGGTGATATGGAATTTTTTCCTAGAAGTCTATTAGATAGTGAAAAGAAGTCATCTTTGAAATGAACATTGAGCTTGAGGAAATTTATAAAATAGAGAATATGCATGGATATATTTAAGTCCCAAAAGAAGGAAAGGACACTAAAATTACGTATTTTTTAACTTAAATTTTATTTTGGTTGTTCGTTTGGTTGAAACTGTCTTATGTTTTTTTTTTCTCAGCTTTGACCTGGTAGCCATCGGTGGTATCTCTATCATCCTAATCTTTGATCGCTCACCTTTCCTGTCTGAGAAGAGGACACTCTGGTTGCCTTGGAATCAATTTATTGTAGTGGAGAAAGTAACCATGCAGAGAGTTGTATCAGACTCACCATCCTGCGATATCTCCAACTTTATCAGCCCAAATCCTATTGTGCTTCCTTCACCGCTCACATCATTTGGAGGGTCCTGTCCAGAGAGAGGAACTATTGTTCCTGAACTGCAGGTGAGTACATCAGCCTTTAAATGTATAAAATCATAGTGTCATGGTGTGGTCAACAATGTATAATGGTTAGATTCTTTTTCCTGATACTTTTGCCAGTTCTATAATACTATGCCCCTCATTTGTCAAAACAAACCTTCAAATCTAATCTCTCTGGCACACATTTGCAAAGAGATTGGCCAGGGCTGTAGGGCGTTATCTGTGGCCATGGAACAAAGATGAACTAGTTATCATAAGAATTAAACCCCAAGCCTTGACCTAATGAACGCAGTGCTCTAAAGAACAAAGCTAGCTTGCTCAATTGTGATAACAGTATAATCAATAAGGTGGGACCATTTGTAGTTCTGAAATGAAAGCTTTTAAAAAAAATCTAGTTTTTTCCATTGTCAAGTTTGCAGCCATTGTCATTGTTCTTAGATGTCATGACAATTTCTCTTGTTTAGTTGTGTTTAGTAAAGGTAGTTTTCAAACTTATGGTTTTGTGTAAAGCTTTATTTTTGAGTGCTCAAGCTTTATAGTCAGAGGAAAACATGTTTTTTCAACTTGATATTTTAGGATTCCTGAAAATTTTTCTTTATTGAGCATTCAATATTTTTACTTCATATTAAGTCATTCAAACATCCATAGTGCAACTCTCTCACTACATTATAGAAAAATGTTAATGATAGTTAAAAGTGGAAGCCACCAAAATGGACCCATAAGTCATACAGATCCAGCATTCAAAACATATAGTCAAGGGCCAGCCGAGTGACTCAGTTGGTTAAGAGCTCACTTAAGAGTGTGAGCGCTGAGAAACAGGGTCACCAGTTCGATTCCCAGCCTGGGTTTAGCTGCCACTGAGCTGCCAACAGGTGGTAGGATGGTTCAGCTAAAAAAAAATTAAAAATAAAAAAATAAAGGAAGAAAAACATATAGTCAAGAAGAAGTAAATGGACATTCTGAGATTAAGTTGGTTTTTCTTCCATCACAATATCCCCACCATTTATTAATAGTACCCATAGGATAACACTTAAGAAAGGCTCACAAAAAATATCACTGTACAGGAAAAGGAGTTCAAAGAGTTGCTGCTCCTCTCTTTTCCATTGTTTTTCCTTAGAAAGAAAGAAAACAACAGGACAGTATTTAATGAGTACATTTGGTACATCAATCCTTTCACAGATGTCATTAGGAAGTGTGGGTCTCTTTCAGCACAAAATTTTTCAAACTGATCTAAAATTGCATGTTTCCTTAGGGGAATGAAATACTAATGTGGTAAGTGTCATGCTATTTTTCGCTGGTGTGCTTCTGCCACCATCTAAGGAGACAGAACCTTTGGATAGCTTTGGGATCAAACAGCTAATGTAGAGAAAGAAAAACTGGGTAATAAATAGACAAAAGGGATTTGTGCACCCAGGAAGCAAAGAACGAGCAGAAATTCTGGACAATACAAGATACCATGTGTTTAACAATCAGTTCTACTATGTGCACTAGTTTGGAAAAGGAAGAGGCGACAGGGTTCTGAGCTAAAAATGAATGAAGGCACACAAACCCCCACACTATCCATGTCACCTTAATGTATTACATAAGATGGGCTCTTTCTTCAGTTGTATTTTGAAAGTTGAAAGTCACAGAATACAAGATTTAGTTTTAGTAACCACTTTTGGATGTTTAACTCCATCTGTGCTAATAAACACAAATGAGTAATAGCAATTAATTAAAGAAACCAAGTGGTATTTTCACTCTGGGACCAATATTTAGTATAAAATTTGCAGAGGAGTTAAGAGGGGTTATTTGCTTCTCAGTCACAGGTGCCAACTTGGAAAAACTTATTCCCAGCAATTGGTACATCCAGGCACAGATAAATATGTAAGCAAAATTTGATTAAAAATTTGGCCCTCAGGATCATTTCAAAGCTCCAAAAAAAAAAAGAAGAATTTGATGGCATCAGTAAAGATTAGTTCTAAGGAATCCACAATCTCTGTCATAAAATATCACTCCCTGGGCCTGCTTCTGGAGACCTTCCTCTTAGCTTAGCCTGAATAGGGATTACAGCAATGGTTTTGTGACATATAATTTAATACATCAGACAAGACTTTGTGTATGGATATATATAATAAAAAGACCACTTAATGGAGCCCATATCACTGAATTGCTTGACATTTAGCAGTGTGATATCCAACTTCTACTAAGTAATTTTTGGAACATTGTTGAAAAACTGAAATTGTACTTTTCACAGGCTTTTTTGGCAGGTATAAAAGGAGCGTAGTCCTCAGGTTTGGCTGGATGCCTTGTTCCTATACAGATTCAGTATAAAATTTGAAACCTATGGTTAAGCAGCCTCACAAAGATTCTAGATCGAAAGCCTTGCCATTCATAGATCCCTATAAGCTATCTCCTTTGGCACATTTCTAAGACAATAAAGCAAGCAGTATCCTTTGTCTACCTGTGACCACTGATAAGAGCCAATTTGGCTTCCTTCTTTCAGGTTGTACAGGAGGAGATCCGTATTCCTTCCAGCTTTGTGAGGCTGAGTTACCTGAGCAGCCGCACCCCCGGGTATAAAACCCTACTACGGATCCTTCTGACACATTCAACCATTCCCATGGGAATGATTAAAGTACACCTCACAGTAACTGTGGAAGGGCGACTCACACAGAAGTCATTTCCTGCTGCAATTAATCTCGTCTACACATTTGCTTGGAACAAGACTGACATCTATGGACAGAAGGTTTGGGGCCTAGCAGAGGCTTTAGGTATGTTGAAATAATTTTATGTAAATAGCAGTATGATGTTCACAAAACAGAAAATACTAGTTGCATATTAATTTGTATTTGTAATAATTTTATTTTATCTAAAGGATCTAAGGCATTTTTTCATTTAAACACTCCCTTTGGGCCTGTTTAGAGTTCCCTTTTGACACATTCTTGCTTCAAATGATTTTAGTTCCTTTTTCCGGATGGCTGTGTACCAGTGGAATCACACACTATCTGACTTATAACTGTCTCCAGAGTTGAATATTGCCTTCTAACTGTGACCTTTGGCGTGACATTCTTTAGGCCATGTTTTTGGATTTGACATTTAGACTGTCATTTCCACTTAGAAACTACAAAATTTTAACTTATAGGCATCTCCACTTGTTATCTTTCATATCTAAGATGGTTAGATTCCCATTAAATTGTTACTTTGGTTAATAAAAAATCACCCTGCTTTCCTAGTCCTTTTGATTTTCTGTTATCTTAAGGACTTTAAAACCTAGAATCTTACAGATAGCAGAAACCTCAGGAGTTCCTTTGGGCCTACAGTTTTCAGATATTAATTCTTTCAGACAAATAACATTTTTTTAAATGAGACTGAGAAAAATTTGCCAACTTTTTATTTTGCCAAATAAGACTATTTTAAAAAAAGAAGAAACAACCACTATCTACTATCTATCACTAGTAGATAGTGATAATCTACTATCACTTACCATTACCATAATTTTATGAAAGAGGGATAGTTTAACACCAAAAAAGGAATAATCTGTCCTAAGAAGTGACACTAAGCAATCTAATACTGATGCTCAGAGAGAATAGAGAGAGACAGACCAATGTCTTTATTTTCTTCACTCTGTAGCTGACAGTGAAAACTTCCTAAGGAACTTGACACAGGTCTATGGAACCACAATTGGAAGCCATTGTGCCTTCAGGCAGTATCTCATGGAAACTACCCCTTGACAGATGAGAAGACTATTTTTTAAATTCTCCAGAAGAGATGTTTTCATATCTTCCCTTGGTTGTGTCCATCATAGTACAACTCCCACATAACTGACCTACATTTTTTAGACTACAGTGTGTCAATTTCCTCTCTTTCTTTCCAGAGGGAAATATAGAGAGGAGAAGAATAAAAAGAAAAAGGAAAAAAAAAAGACTGGTGACTTTTTTGCCTAAGAGACCCTCATATATTTAAATAATTAATTCATCCCTGTTGAACTTTATTAGAATGTGAGGACCATAACGTGTTCAGATTTCTTCAGTTAGTGGGGAGTTAGTGTAAAGACCTAAAAGGAAAGTAAGAAAGAGCAAGAAAAAACATCAGCAGCCTCACAGGCAGGCCTCACCAAACTGCAGACTTGCTCAGAAAACACTGCAGTTCTAGAAGACCAGCATCTGTTCTGTCAACTTAGCTGCAGCTCTAGTTGTCTCGTCTGCAGTGAGTTTCCCACAGAGATGACTCAACCATACTGATGACTGAGCTCATCAATCACTTCTTCTGCCATACTAACTACCTTTTTCTTTCAGGTTTTTGAACCCCATGGTCTGGTGACTTACTACTATGTATCTTGCATTCAGGTTCCTCTTAGAGAGAATGTCTGATTGTGTCAGCCAGTCACCATATAAAAGTGAGCACCCCTGTAAGGCAGAGCTCTACTATTCGGCTAACTACCACCAAGGTTGCTGGCCAGCCCATGGAGTCCTGCTCAATTCTTATTCCAGTGGGTACAGTTGTTTAGAGAACAACTCTGGAGCCAGACTCCCTCCCTCTGTTCAGATCATACCTTATCTACTTACTAGGTAGTCAACATTGGGTAAATTACTTAATCTCCAAATGCCACAGTTTCTCCACCTATAAAATGGGAATCACAAAAAGGATGTTACTTATAGGTTGTGATATGAGGATTCAATGAGGTGGGTAGCTTCATACATGGTAAGCACTCAACAAATGTTAGTCACTGGTATGTTTTTTTCCACTTTGGTTGTGGCCAGCATATTTAGGTCCAAGGGATAAAGCATGGAGCTTATGCAAGTGTTTGTTTCCTCAGCTTCTCTAAGAAGGGAACTGTGGATAAAACAGTTAGGCACTTGGTGGTAGTTATTCTCCATTTGCTCACCCTGCCAAGCTCTCTCTCTCTCTCTCTCTCTCTCTCTCTCTCTCTCTCTCTCTCTCTCTCTCTCTCTCCTCTGTCCTTCTCTGTGCTCTGAGAGGCTGGATTCTATGGACTACATCACCTGGACTCGTTTGCTCTCTGGCTTGTCTTTTTATTTAGTCAATGGGTGGCACCATCTGGAGACTGTAGGGTGGAAGAAGAGAGAGGCCAGAGTATTTATCTCGCTCCTTGCTTCGCTGCAGTTCTGGCAGTGACTACATTAGAAGATGATAGTTCTTGTCCAGTAGCCCCTCCTCCAAATCCCCATGCTCTCTCTGGTCTTCTCTATCATTATTCCCTCCCCCTCCTTCCCCAGAGACTTTCCAGTATTGTCAGTCCCTGGGTGGATTACCATTCCTTGTCAATTCCCTTAACTCTCCTCATGCCTCTGTAAATAGTCCCTTCAGTCAACTCTCTGCAGTGAACACTTGTGAGCATGACATCTGATCCCTCCTGGGACTCTGAAGGATGCATACCCAAAGCCTCGTAGTCTTCTCTCAAGGACATTCTCCCAAAGGTTTTGTTCGACTAGAATAATCCAACATTCCTCTATCTTTTCTCCATAGGGCTTTGTTCTCCAATTCCTTGTGACCTACCTCAGAACACCTGCTAGATTACTGGGGTTTGGGGTTTTTAAAAAAACAAAAAACAAAACAAACCTTTCTGTCTTAAATTGTGAGACTGAGCAATGTACCTAGTACTCTCGTGAAGAGCTGACCAGGACAATATACAGCAGTCATTTTTTTGCTAATATTCCACAGTTCAACGTTACTTTTTAAAAATAACAGCTTTATGGAGATATAATTCACATATAAAGTTCACCCATTTAAAGTATACAATTCCATGGTTTTTAATATTTTCACAAGGTTGTACAACCACCACCAATATCTAATTCCAGAACATTTTCATCATCATCCAACAAAGTAACCCTATACACACTAATAGTTACTCTCCACTCCTTCCTCCCCTCCAGGCCCTGGCAACCACATTTCTGTCTCAATGGATTTACCTATTCTGGATACCTCAAACAAATAGAATCATACAATATATGGTCTTTTGTATCTGTCTTTTTTTAGTTGACCTAATGTTTCCAAAGCTCATCCATTTCATAGCATGTATCAATACATCATTCCTTTTTACGATCAAATAATATCCCATTGCATGGATATACCACATTTCTTTGATTGTCCATTCATCAGCTGATGGACAGTTGGGTTGTTTCCACCATTTGGCTATTGTGAATAGTGCTGCTATGACCATTCATGTACAAGTATTCGTTTGAATACCTGTTTTCAGTTCCTTTGGGAATATACCTAGGAGTAGAATTATTGGGTCATATGATAATTCTATGTTGGACTTGTTGAGGAACTGAGAACTTGTTTTCCACAGTGTCCACACCATTTTATTGACCTCACTTTATGCATAAAATGTGTTATAGCTCTTCCTTTTAAATACCTCTAGTGTCAAAGATTTTAAAATTTCCTCCTTGTTGTAGTTAAGCACTCTTTAAGGACTTATTTTCCAATATGCCCATGGATGACTGAACAAACAACTAAAAGACAAAGAAAAGCAGGCTTTCTATTATACACACCAGTGATGAAGCCTCCATTCCTATTGTTTTCCTGTGAGTGTTGGTTTACTTCCTGTTTCTACAATTACATTCCTGGTTCAAGCTTCCTCAAGCATTCTGACTTTAAAATGGCCTTAATTAAAATGATTAAATATATGTTGTTGGTTCCTTTTTAAGGCTAATAACAGTAATAAAAGCAAGAGACAATTGACCCATTTAGAAATATCCAAAGGGAGAGGGTAAAAAATGTTCCTCATGGAATTTTATGTGCAGTTAAGGGAAAAATTTTCTTTTTTAATGAAAGTTTATTGGGGTGACAATTGTTAGTAAAGTTGCATAAATTTCAGGTGTACAATTCTGTAATACATCATCTGTATATCACATTGTGTGTTCACCACCCACAGTCACATCTGCTTCCATCACCATATATTTGATCCCTTTTACCCTCATCTATCACCCCCTCCCCCCTTACCCTCTGGTAACCACTAAACTATTGTCTGTTGTTTGTCTTGTTCCTTTGTTGCTTTCAATTTTATATAGCACATAAAAAAATCTTAAGGTAGAGAGAGAAAACTGGCAAGGATCCCAAGGAAAAGAGCCAAAAGGATTTCAACTGTCATACCTAAAATAGAATATGGATTATTTACATTACAGGAAATGTCCTGATACTTCAATCATGGTTAAAGTGATTTTGTTTACCACCTAGTCTCCATTTCCATCTCCATGGAGACTAAGAGAATTTTTTTGACAGTGGCAAAGCATTGAAACAGGTGATAAAATGAAGTTAGAGAAGCTACTAATGTGAAGATGGATTGTGAGCACCTTAAGATGCAACAGGCAATAAATAGCTCAAGTGATAAATGGATGGAGACAAAATGATCTAGTATATTACCATTGAGCTGATACCTTAATAGATATGATTAATCTAAACAAAGAAGAAAACCTTTAGTTGTATGCCTGACCATATTTTACAGTCAGTTAACTGATGTGAGAAGAAACAGACTCAAGTTTGCACCAGACATTAACAATTGTGCTATATACGACACATTTCAGATTTGCTTCAGGTTCAGAAATCTTAGTATTGTCTTTTTGTATGCAAAAGAATAATTACTACCCCTTAAATGTGTGCATCTCTGGAACCTGCAAATATGTAATGTTACACGACAAGAGAGAATTAAGGTTGCAAGTGAAATTAAGGTTGCTAATCAGCTGTTCTTGAGATGAAATGATTATCCTGGATTATCTGGGTGGGCCCAATGTCATCACAAGGGCCTATGTGT